AATAAATAAAAGACAAAAAAAGTTCTAATGAAGTTATAAGCAGCATCAGAAATGTCAACATCTCTTTTTAATGTACTCTAGTTTGTCTTCTAATCGTGTTATTTTGGTGTTTGTCATTTTTACTAGTGTGTGTGTGTGTGTGTGTGTGTGTGTGTGTGTGTGTGTGCATTAACTTGACCACCCTCATCTTTGAGGAACACTCTCTGAGACATTTCTCAGTGTGTCAGCAATATGCCTAGGAAGAAACTCGACTCAGAGCCCCTGTTTCTTTAACCAGGCCTGACACCGTCATGTACTAACCGTGTATTCATAGGAAGCCCTCAAATTCTCTAAATCTGTCACCTCATCAAGTAGAGGATAGTTCCCCTTCTCTCCTTACCAAAGACTGGCATCCATGGGAGTCGATTACATGGTAGGTATTATGTGGTATGAAACGCTTTTTCATTCCCTAACCTTTCCACAGCTGTGAAGCGAGAGTTGCCTGTCCACTCATGGAGCTATGGCTGAAACTCACCGTGCCATGACTCCTTCCCTGAATGCCCAGGAATGCTCTGTCACTTCCTCCTGCGATGATCATACTTCCATCACCATTCACAGTACTGTCCTAGCGTTGTATTCATCTTTCGACATGCTGTATGACTACTCTAAACGTGGGCAACTCTTTCTCTTGGCAGTCCTCATGTCCATCAGAGTTCAGAATCACAGAGGTTCCGTTTATTTAATATTTTTATAAATACATTTAAAATGCGTTAAATATTATATGCTTATGAGGTGTAGCTATTGTATTGGAACACCCTCCTACAGCATTTCCCCTCCGTCTTACTTTTCTCTCTCCGGTCTCCTTCCCTCTTCTTGGTTTCAGATCATCTATGTGGCCAGAAACGCAAAGGACTGCCTGGTGTCTTACTACCACTATCACAGGATGACCACATTATTGCCTGATCCTAAGAGCCTGGAGGAATTTTGTCAGAAATTTATGTCAGGAGAAGGTGAGTGCAAACTCCTTTGATGTAGTTTGAGGGGCTTCCTACTAACACACGGTTAGTACGTGACAGAGTCAGGCCTGGTCAAAGAAACAGGGGCTCTGAGTCGCGTTTCTTCCTAGACATGTTGCTGACACACTGAGAAATGTCGCAGACAGTGTTCCCCAAAGATGAGGGTGGTCAAGATGAGTGCAGACTACCCACCTTCAGAAGATCAGGTCTGATAAGGTCCTCTAGAATTTGGCAGAGGATGGAACCAAAGACGATGCTGAGTGACGATATCCTATCTTGGGGACCTGCGATTGGGGAAACTGTCAGAGGCCAGCTCCGGGGGGTTCACGGGGACCCGAGAAGGAGGCGTGATGAGGCGAGGGAAGGAAGAGTCGTGACCAGAGTTTCTTTTCAGACACTCTGGCACTGAAGCATGGCAGTGCTGATTTATTTATATCGTAATTTTTGGCACCCACTTAGCAGAAAGTTAACAGTAAAGGAAAAAATTAACAATCAAAACGTATCTAAACGATTGTATGACGTACTAATGATTTCACAGTTCTTATGATTTTTGCATAATTATACGGTTTAATAATGTCTACATATAAGAAGCTAGCTGTTCTTGGAAGTGGTAACTTACGGAAAGGGCAAGGTTAATATTAGTCAAAGGGTTAGCAAGTGGAAAGTAAAACTTATGCTTTATAAAGGTAAATAGTCTATATAGATATAAAGGTGTTAGGCATATAACCTTTATGTAGTTTTAATTTAAAGGTCGCTGTCTGTGATTGTGATGAGGTAGTGTCTATAATTTTATTTATATATACCAATCATTTCACTTTTTAGTAAGTGCTGACCTTTGGGTTTTAGAAAGCAGGCACCGAGGGGGCCCGCTGCGTTTTATTTTTTCCTATAAAGATAAGTTTTTCTACTTAACATATCTTTCATCTATTCAGACTCTTCTAACCATATCATCATCAGATGCACCTGTATAAGGTAGTGGAGGGTCAAGCCATTCTAGGTTTTGCATACTACTCTTTCCTCTAGGTGCCCACCAAATTCTGCCATTCATATTATAGCCTCTATGGGGGCCTGCTCTAACCGTCGGCCAGGGTTTGTGCTATTGTTTCAAAGCTTTAAACTTGTGGCTACTCTGGTGCTGTTTGTATGGCTTAACTGTGTTTGCCTCAGTTTGTACCTCAGTTTCTGTCATTTCTTGATACCGTAGTTTTAACATAAAGTAGAACAGTTAAAAGTACAGTTTGGCACAGTAGGCTTTGGAGTAATTGGCTGGGTCATTGTGACCCGTTGGGTTGCTATTTGCATTTCCTGAGGCATGGCCAATGGTGAAACATTCACTGCTTTATTGTTGACATTATAGATGATGTAATCCTTAACTTTAGTCAGCGTTCTTTCCCCAGGGGAGATTTAAGCATATGATTCCTGTAAGGCATAAGCATAACAATATAATGGGAACAGACAGGCGGCCATGAGTCATAGGACATTCATGTAGAACTCTCCTCAAGACTTTCCGCGGGGCTTTGCCACACACACGCATCCTTCTGGGGCTTTGCCTTCCAGAAGGGTGTCTTCATTCGGCTCCCATGCGGAGTTCTGGATTGTCATGGCCTCCGCCAGGAAACCTGTTAGAAAAAAATATTTTCCTAGGAAAATATATATATTTTTTATATTTCCTAGGAAAATATTTTTTTAAAAAAGGTTCCTAGGAACCTTGAAAAAAAAGAAAAATATTATTTTCCAAAATTGGATACAAGTGTAAATTGAGGCAGGCCATCTGGGGTGTAAATGTAGGGACAGAGGTAAAAATCCCCTAATCCCGGATTAAGTTTCAAACAATAAAAAGAAGCATAATTATAGCATTTTATTGTAGCAGCAGGGGGCTGAACGCGAACAGTGCAGGAAATTTGCAAATCTGGCATAGACGGGCTTTAAGGACCATAGGCATACCAAAAGATGCTGAGACAAGGGGAAGCTTTTAAATTTGTCCTGAAGCAAAAACAACAAAACTACAGGGGCTATCACAGGAGTAGATGCTAGTTCATTAGTGGAGACCCGGCTTCAGGCAAGTATCAACGTTCGTCCAGCTAGCTGCTTTTGTGACTCAAGTTGAGCAAGCAGCAGTTTGAAAAGTCCTTTTTAAAAGCTCTTGCTACAGACATATGTGCATAATAGTCCACGGATTCTTTGTGATAATTCTTATCACAGGCATGTGTGAGGGACAGCTCCCCTTCCTGGGCTTCCTGGCTTTCTTTATTGTTTTTTTGTGGGAGTTTAACACAAGTAACTGCATTTTGATCCTGACAACATTCACATTTTTCCCTTTCGTTCAAAATCTTTCTTTAAAAGCATCACTGATCACTCACCCTGTAATTAAGTTGAAATGTCCTCCAGTGCTGAGACGGGCCTATCTCCTGCGGGGAGACGGCCAGCAATTTTGAGTCGGTATTGAATCCCTGTCAGCCACATTCGAACAAGAAGGAAGTTTTGAAGCGTAGTTCTCAGGATAAGTCTGGCTAGCATTCGTTGTTCAGTTCAATTTTGTCAGTTCAAAAGGTGTTGGCTATTATTTTGAAGCAGCAGGCCAGCCTTATTCTGGTAGGAGTGTTGTTTCTGTTTCTGCAGCGCTTCAACAGGAACTGGACATAAGGTTTAAAAGGAAATAATACACAGCAGCACCAACAAGAACATAGCAAAACCAGGTTGTACACTGCTTTTGAATGGAGAGACTTAGCCAAAGGGTAACCAATGGGTAGACTTTTTTAGAATGAATTAAAAGGAACTGGATGAGATCTGTTGTGGTCATTGATCCTGTTCTTTCTTTTTAGGAAGTTGGGTTAACAGGGGTTTTTTTTTATTTTATTTAATATCCCATAACCGGGCTAAATTAGAGAGCATTATTAAAAGGGACCACTAAGAAAGAACATCTTAAACCAAATGCTATGTTGACATGTTGCCAGACTTAACCACTAGGTGGAGTAGAGATCTAGATTTGGCATGACAGAGTCAACATTTCAAGTCACTCTTAGTGTGGATCGTGAAATTTTAACTGTGCCGTTATCCCGTCAAGGGAAAAAGTTTGGCATTAAAACTTTCGTTATTATGTGGAGTCTTGTTTCAATGTCTTATTAAAGCTGTCTACAGTGTGAAGCCATCAAATTCTGGACCTCCTTTGCAGTCTGAAGTCTATGGTTATGGCATCGAGTATTTTGGTAAACTTTCTGTGTGGCCTATAGTCAGGAATGAGATTTGCTCCTTAAAGTTGATTTATTTTCACCTTATAGGGACTCAGGAATAGCTGTATTCTTGTTTTGAATTAGTGAGGTGTGGCCAGCACTTTGTGGGGCCAAGGCGAGAGGATTGCCGGAGCCCACGGGTTTGAGACCAGCCTGGGGAACTTGGCAAGACCCCATCGCTACAATAAATCAAAAAATTAACTGGATGTGGTGGCATGCTTCTGCAGTTACTTGGAAAGCTGAGGCAGAAGGATAGTCTGAGCCCAGCAGGTCGAGGCTACAGTGGCTGTGAGCGTGCCACTGCGCTCCAGCCTGGGCGATAGAACAAGATTCCGACTCAAAAAAAAAAATTAGTGAGGTGTATCTATATACCAGAGAAATTGGGAGGATTCAGAATCGAATCCAGTCTGCAGGCAGGTAAGTAGATAACAAGGACTGAGAAATAATGTACAATCGACTAAAAGTTTTGTAGTTTTCCCTACAAACATAACCTTCTGCTCAACAGTTATCCCAATTTTTACCACAGATAGTCCGAGTAAGACCAGTTTCTTTGTACAATAAGTTTACCTTTATCAAATTTTGCTTAATTATTTAAACAGGTGTAGCAAGAATAGTCACTGGTCACATAGGAATCTCAGATTTAGAAACCTCATTATGAAGCTAAACCAAAGCAGACTTCAAATTTTGCCCCAGTCTCTTTAAACAATTTAAATATGACATCCAAGATAAAAACCATGGTGATATGGCCAATGTTTTCAATTGTATCCAGTTAGAAAGAGAGTCAATTTTTATGGATTTATGGATGCAAATATATTGTCATAAATTAAAAATATTCACAAATAGTTTCCAAATTTTTGAAGGAATAAACAGGGAGAAAAAGTATTTCACTTCTGTTCACACAAGTATACTTTAGCAAATCTCTGCAAACTATAGATAGCATAACAAAGAAAGTTTCCTTAAATTGGAAAAACAAAGCATTTCAGTAAAAAAAAAGGCAATGTTTGAAACACACGTCATAAAAACACCTTTATTAGATCATCAATGTCATGTCATTAATTTTTGTTTCACTTAATTTTGACTGGCAGTTTCAAAACCTATCCGTTTCTTCATAGAATTCAGGAAATTTTTATTTAATCCACTAACTTTAAAGTTATTGGGAACCTGTTTATAAGAGTACTTGTTAGAGTCTTTTCGGGAATCTGATTGCAAATGCTTTTAGAGAAAAATCAAAGCAATAACTGTGGGCAGCAAAAACTTGGAATAGTCCTAGTTAGAAGTACAATGAAATTCCACAGCTGACAAGGAAATTTAGTGATTTCTGTTACTTAAAGCATTTTAAGATAACAACCAGAATAGCGACTGACAGCAGCACATTAAGGACACCCCCTCTCTGCACAGAGCTTCAGGTTGTAGCTACAGGGAGCAGGCGAGCCTGAGAGCTGTGAGTTTCCACACTGGGAGACTCACACTAGGTGGAGACGTCACACCACAGCCACTGTCAGCTGCCACAAGGTCTGGTGTTCAGCCACCGGCCTGGCATCTCTTATGGGCAGCCTAGATGCATACTGCAGTATCTAGTACTGGTACGGGGCATGAGAAGAAACAAGATCCCACTCTTGCCTGCCAAGGCCATGGCGCCAAGACCATTCTTCACTTCCTGTGCCAAGACCTCAGCAGTGTCATCAGTCATCCATGATCTAAACAATTTGCTAGCAACCTGAGGACTCCCCCGCAACCTCTATCAGGGCTGGAGCTTTCCCTCAT